GCCTGCCAGGCCGAGCGCTTTACCGCGGGCGGGCGCCGAGTCGCGCGGTCACCGACTGCAGGCGGCGGCAGCTCCAACCTTTCTAGGGGCCTGGCGAGGAGGGGAAGGGGGGAGGGGGGAGAACTTTTGCTGTGGCAGCTTCGGGCACAGCTCCCACCCCTGCGCCTTTCTCCTCTTCCTCCCCCTCCTCCTCCTCCTCTTCCTCCTTCTCTTCCTCCTCCCAGAGCAGTAGAGACGCAGACATGCCGCAGCTAGAGCGCCGCCGCGGTCGCCGCCACTGCCGGCGCGGTGCATTGTGGGAAGCCCAGCACACGGGAAGCGTTCCGCGGCGCCCGCCCTCGCCTGGCGAGGCGACCTGGCTTGGAAGACCCAGCGTGGCTTGGATTCCGGCGCCTGCGTGTCACCAGCGTGGCCCGGAGTGCTGGCCCTGAGCCGCGGGTCCCCCAGGCTGGGCCCAGGAAGAAAGCGATTTGAAAAAGATCGGAACTGAGGAAAACTCTTTGAAAGAGAGGTCACCCCCGCCCCTTCAGCTTTAATCACTGCCTAGCGCTCCAAGAAGCCGAAGTCTCCGGGGTCGGGAGCGTTTCGGGCCCCGGGGAAATGGACGGGGCGGGGACCTAGGTAAAAGGTGATCTGCCAGAATTTCTTGGCTTTTTCCTTTATCCTCTCTTACCTTGTCCTCTCCTCCGCCACCTCCAGTGTTGGCCTCTACCAATCCAAGTGACACCTTTTCCGGAAGATGCAGCCCAGCAGCGCCCTTGAAACCGGCAAACCCTGATAATGTCTGCAAACTGAGATGCAAGGGTGTGAGTATAGAAAAATCAAGAGATCCGGCCCTGGACCCTGTCGGGCAAGGTCCTAACATATAGTATTAACTGCTCGGTTCACCTGATCTGTATGGCAAAGACTTGGTAATGATCTATGTAGAGCTGGGATAGCACAGTAGTTATCTTTTGGGGCCCTTTAAGTGACCCGCGCCAAGTCGTGACCTCCTTAATGGTGTCTTCATTCAATTAACCTTTATTAGGCGCCCTGAGGTGCTTGTGCATACTGCGATGGTTTATAATTACTGATCTTTGTGTCCTCACCCTAGCACAAGGTCAGCCATGTAACATAAAAGATGCCCAGTGAATGCCG